GAGACGGGACCCGGGTGACCCGCGGGGCGGGGCTGTTCGGGGCACCAGGTACTTGGACTTTGATCGAAGGCAGCTTCCTACGAGCCTCTGCCCCGTGCGCCCTGTCCGGCTGCGGACCCGGGCCCCTCGCACTTTTCCGTTCTTCGCCGACCGGAGCCCTCGTTCCCCAAAGTTACAAGCAGATTGTTTCGGGAGGAGCGTGTGGGGACCCAAAGTATTCTTTGTGCAAAGAAAGGCAACCGAGAGCTGGTAGGAGAGGTCTGGCCAAGGAGTGGCGGCCTCGGCTCTGCGTTGGCCCGAAGTTGATGCAGGTTTCGCCTTCACCTCTTCTTCCTCCGTTTTTCCTAAATGAGTTGCTTTTTCCCGGTTCAGACTCTTACTGGCTGAATTCTGCACAGCTCGCTGAGCCCGCAGCCCCGCAGCCCCACACTCTAGACAGCTGGGCTGTCTCGGATTCGCACCCGTTAGCCAAACCAGATCTGGGTCGGGGTCCAAATCTGGGACCGCCACCTGGCCACGTCTGATTCGCAGGCTCGGGCCCCAGCTCTGGAACCGTGTTAGCCTTATGCTTCCTTGCATATAGTGGTAAAATGTCTGTTAGAGTGGTGTTTCCAGATACCCCGTGGGCATTTGGTGTGCGGGAATTCTCTTCTAGGGAAGAAGTCTGTGAACTTAAAAAAAAATTCTTTTCTGAGTTCTCCACAACCCCCCATACCCTGGCCCCATTTCCCATTGTTCTTTGCTTTTTAAGTTGCCCGTTAATTTTTTAAAAGTTTATTTATGCAAAGGAAAAATATCGTTTAATTTGTTCTATTATTTTCATTCCTGGCCTTTGGAAACGGTTCAGAGACCACAAAAATGTCACCTGTTGTAGTAAGCAGAGGGGTGTTGTGTGTGCATTGTAATTGCCAGCAGAATCATAGTTTGGTGGGCATTCAGAGCTCGGCTCCGGAGAGCGGCTTTGCAGCTTTCTTTGTGGCAGTCATTTGCAAGTGGGTTTGGCTCCCAGTAGGAGCAGCAGCAGCAGCGGCGGTGGCGGCAGCGGCAGCGTGGCTTCCTTCTACACCCATAACCTGCTCCAGTCAAGAAGCCCAGATCCTGGACAGGGATGGTCAGAGACTGGGGTGGGAAACTGCCCATTCTGAGACGTTGTCTCTGGCTTTCGGTTTTTCTATGCGAAAGTGACTAGTTCGCTCAGGAAAGCGAGGAGCCCTGCGCATCAGCCCAGACACAGACATTTTCACGTTCTGAACGCCAGCTTCTTCGTTTCATTTGTCTTGTTTCTGGCATGTTGAACCACGCAATTAGTGATCTCACTAATTATTCAGTTAGTTGGCGTTTTGTAATCACTTTAAACCAGGGTCGGGTGTGTGATTTAACAAACAAACAAACTCTCCACACTCATACAGACCTGAACCAAACCCATCACGTCAAGGATCTGAAATTTTTAAAACTCAATATTTGTTGGTCCCTCCGTCCATCCTCACTGCCTGCCAGACAATTTATTTAGCTTCGTGGATTGATCCCTCCTCCTTGTTTAGTTAATTCAACAAAGACTTTTTGCAATCTGTTTGGAGTTTGTCTGATGCCGTGGAAAAGTAGCTGATGATTTATTTGGTTGCTTTTCGATTTCTGTCTTCAGCCCTTCTTTCTCCTCCTTTCAGCAGGGATGTCAGCTGTTATTACTTCCTATTGATCCCTTTGCAAAGTGAGAAGTGAACTAAAATTAATGTCAATTCCACTGCTCGGATCAATAGCTGGAGTTATTTTAATCTGGATTTGCACGAAGTGCTAAATTAAAAAAAATCAGCATAGAGGCAGAAAAGTAACAGTTACTTACTTTCCCTTTGCCCGGTTCTTCACAGTCACCCAAATGCTCCATCAAGCTGATTATCTTACAATCCATATTTTTTTAATTAAGAGGGCCAGTTAGTTTTCTTATTTTGGGTTCTGTGTTTAAACCCATGACATTTTGACATTGGGAGTGTATTAACTATAGATTTTCATAATGACTGTGGTCTGCTGAAGCCTCATCTGTACAAGTTGCTAATGTGAGGAGGGGGTAAGAAAGAAAAAAGAAAAGAAGAACACTCCCCCTCCCCCCACAGAGACCAGCACCCACACACTGGAGTAAAGGAGATGTGGCCTGAGAAAAATATTGTTGATTTATTTTCAGCATAATGAAGTTTCAAATGAATAACCAGGTTTGAGTGATTCACCGCGTTCTGTTGGAGTGTCCGGTGCTGTCGCCAGATTACTAATTTATGAAACTCATTTAACATAATGAGGTGATCCAGGAAGTAAAAATAGAAAGCAAATCCTCTGGGTGACTGGCCGTTTTGGGGGAGACACATTCTCCCCCTCACCCCCAGTGTATTAAGTTTGCCCTTTTCTCCAGCTTGCCTCATATAATATTGCTTGTTGATGGACAAGTAGTTCTATCTGTTATGAAAAGCTGGTTAGAACCCTTGGAACAGCCCTAGACCCACTTTCAGAGCATCCATGTTGCATGGCTATTAATCGGACTTGAAAACAGCCAAGAACAGGATTCCCAGACTTGTCAGGCTAGCTGGCTGTCCTTGGCAGATCATTCCCTGCACTGCTATAACTTGACAGGAAAGTTATTTAAAATTTGGAAGAGAGAAAAATCCGTTAATGTGAGATACATAATCTGGTAATTTAGCAATGATGTCTATAAGGAAAGATGCCAAATGAGGAAGCAGTCTGATGGTGTGCACTCATCTTCCCAATTAATAACAGTCATTGACATGTCTACTACAGGATGGGAGAAGGAAATACTCTCTTTGCACTGCATTAAGCCAGGAGGATTCATCTACAGTTTAACTGAGGTTTCTCTATTTGAGGGAGTACCAAAGATAGATACTCCATTATCTAGGCAGTTTTTTTAAGGGAGGGGGTAAATTTTATTTGAGACATGACTCAATTTTTAAAGGTTATAATTTGTAGCAGATGATGATTTTTTGGTTACACTCGGAGTTTCACTTAAGTTTCTATTTAGTGTATATATTTGAATAAGTCCTACTATTCATCTTGTGTTACCCAGACTTTTGATATATAATCCTTCTCCCACTTCCCACTAAAGATAAATTTTGAAATGGAATCAGTGGCTGTGAAAACGTACAACCTAAATTTAAAAGAGAAATTGAAAGAAGTATCCTCGAACTCCAATTTGTTCCAGAGGCCTTCATTGGACATCAACTCTGACTGGGCCAACTAGCTGAGCAAAATAAGTCAGAAATTTTGTTAACATTTTCCTCTAAATGTTAATGGCAAATTCAGAGCAGCTTACAGATCTACTTAAGAGTGAGTGCATTAGTAACTAAAATTACCGATCCATTCTTTGCTGCCCCTGGAAGACAGCCGCTGCTAGAGAACATATGCCAAAGGCACCCATTATGTTTTTAAATATTGTCAGAGACGCCAGGCATTTTATTGATGAAGGTTTTGTTCCTTCTCAGACAAGAGGAAACCTGTGTGATCAGAGAGGGGTATGCAGCAACAATAATGTTGCTGTTATTTGTTCACACAGCACTTCTTTCTCGAAACAGTCTTAGATGATACATGAAGATATGTGTTTATGCATGTGCCAATGTGTGTGATTTATCCACACGTACAATTTGTACCACCTAACATGTGCAGATGTTCATGGTCTGGATGTGCTTGATTTAGGGATTTTTCATTATCAGGGCGTTGTTAGAGGAGATGAAGAGAGGACTCATACATGG